GGCAGACACAGTTTCCATGCTCAGGATAATATTCCTGCCCACCATGACTGGCAGTACAGAGTGTATTACAAAAAATTGAAAAGGACACAATTAACAAAATGTTACTTATTGTTATCACACTCAGTTTAGACTACCTGGTTAGATAATATGGAGTCTGTGTCTAGAAAACGGTTTTGGTAAAACATATCAAGTGGTAAATATAGATCTTGGAAAATGACAAAAAAGCAAATAAACAGTAATGCAGAAAAAGAGATAACAGCATTACAATGGGGAGGCAAGGTGTCTCGACATTACACACAATATTTGTGTGCGCCAGTCCTAAAAGCCAAACATTCCGAAAAGTGGCCATACAAGGAAACCTAATGCTAGAATTTTGGGCCATGTGCAAGCAGCAAGGCACCAGAATCCAATAGATTAATAATAAAGTGTTAGAAAAGATTTAGACAATGAAAGAAAAGTGGAAAATTGTGTTACAGATATTAATGTGATCAATTTGGATGACATTATTTACATCATAAGATTCTTGAAATCTGAGAGGAAAAAGTTCTAACAATACAACCTTTATACACATACCAATCACAACCGAATGTTTTCTCTTGGGGCGCCCCCGTCTGCGTGTTGTTATTAGCTCCTGAGAAAAGAAATAAGAATTATTAATCACAAATGACACCCACATTTTCATTATAAGTATAATACATGTAAAATAAAGAATAAAAACTGTAAAATAATAGTCTAATAATGATACAAAAATAATGCTATATATAACAGTATTCATGTTGAAAATGTAGAAAAGGTTTGAATAAGAATGAATATTTCTACAATACAAGAGATATATTAGACCAGTTTCGAATATATCTTCATAATAAATACATTTCTGACAAATATTCAAAACCAGTCAAATACATCTCTTTGTTTTGTGAAAATATTAATTCTTTTTCATACCTTTTCTACTGTTATTTCACAAACTACACTTGATATCATTTTAGCCATTTAACCAAACCTTGCTGACTCACCTTAGGTGGCTCAGGATCAGGCGAAGGCTCCTCAGGGAACTCAATATCGTCAAGCAGTTCTTCCTGCTGGTCAGCCTCTCCTACTCCTGCTGCAGTCACCTCCTCAGCGACACACAGCTTTTCAGGAGGGCTTGCTTGGCTGTCAGTGTCCAGAGCAGCACAAACGGCAGCGACATCATCAGTCATGTCAGGTAAAGTCTGTGACTCTAGGATCATCTTGATCAGTTTTTCTGTCTGGAAATAAGAGACAAAGGCAAGGTTTTTAAAGGAACCAATTCGCATAAAAGTTTGTAACATCAAATAGAGAACTTAAATACACTTTAATCTAATACACACTTTTATTTTTAGATTCATTTTAGAGAATTTAAATAAATTTAAATAAATAAATAAATCAGGCTATTGATTCTCACTTAAAGTTCTGACTTTAGATGTTACAAGATTGCAATAAAGTATAAATAAAAAACAAATAAATGATGTTTTTCACAAAAAATAACAGCCTTCAGACCAAACCATTGTTTCCATGCCACACTAATTCTTGCCAATATCACTGATATTGAGCATTAATATTAAGTACCAATAGGTACTCTGCTAAACATTGCATAGCATAAGCAATCTATCAGTTGTCTAAGCAGTCATCAATACAGGGAATTATCTGCAGGTGGAGCCTCCTCCCCCCATCAATGGGCACACCCATTCATGGGAACGTAAATTTTTTATAAAATTGTAACATGGAGTTGGAAAGTTAGTCTCCAGTGAGTGTTAAGAAATATTGAATGTTTACATAAGGACTACACTAAAATGATGGCAATGATTGTGGACTCCCAGGAGTAACCCCAAGGTTGCTCACTGGAATAATTGGGAGTTTCCAGATTGGAAACTTTGCAAAGTGCACGGCGGAGTTGTTGTTCAGAAGAAGAAAATGTGCAGCTACACATACAGATTGATGCAAAAATGTGCAGGTGAGTAAGAGTTGCTGGTTTCGTTGGTCCAAACTTTTGGCAAAAAAATCAACCAATCTGTGTCCTCTGCTTTTTGACCATCAGCCAGTCATTGGCTTCAACTCAAGGAATTCCCAGTTCGCAGTTACGCGTTTAAGCCTCCAATTACTAAATGGCATGGCTGAGAGAAAAGAATAAACCCGCCGCGCACAGCAAACCTTCCAATCTGGGGGAATTTCAGAGGGCTGTAGTGACTTCATAAAATTACCAAATCTCACTTTATTTCCTGGGTCCTGAAATGGTCATTTATGAAACTGGATAGTGGTTTCTTACTCTCATAAAAACATGCCTTTTTTCCACTTATGGGCTATATAACTTTCATATCAACTTGTAAATTAAATGCCATGTCTTAAATCTTGTCGTTCTGTCCATTATAGGCAAAGTTTATCTTGTTCCGTATGACTGTTGGGAACTGAAACTCTTTACCAGAAGTTAAGATAATCAGACCAAAACCTAAAAGGAAATTAAATACTTTGTGGATTTCTTTTC